CATGGAGCTCTCTTGTTTCTTCTGACTGTCTTAACCAGCGTTCAACTGGCAACGCACTCTAGTCAAATCATTCAACGTCCATTTGTGTGAACAGTAACAGTGCTGGCTGACGTTACCGCTACACCAATGAATTGTCTAGCTGCTGCCAGAAACACACAGTTAAACTCCCATTCCCTTCCGCCTAGCCTGCACCCACCACTTCTGTTACATAACTGTTAGCTATGGTCACAGCAGACCAATTCACGGGACAAAATTAGGTGGAAATTAGCCCATCACATAACAAGTTGAAGTGATTTAGTTTCCTCAGTTAGTTTACTGCAAGGTAACGAGTGCCAGTAGAAGGGAAGCACTGCAAGTACAGCTGATAGCAACACACTTCTCTTTTAGCAATAGCAAGACACCAATGTGTCCTTATCATTAAAAAATGACACCAAAGACACAACAGATCTTTTGGGACCTTCACAGTGGAGAAATAGAGAATTGATTTCAAAGAATGCTGCATGTTTTTTTCTAAGCCTCTTTGAAGTTATTTTTTTCCACCAATTTTCTCCTCCACTTCTAGAAAAACATGCAATTAATGAGTGTTAAAACAAGGTGCAGTATTTTAAAAAAGTGAATTTCTACTCTATTCTACAGAACATTAATTGTTTTCTTCCTAGAGGCTGATGAATGTGTCTAAAGCAAAAGTGAAAATCTTCTGAGAAGTTTTAAGTTACTACTAAAAAAAAACACCTCCAGCTGTTAAACTTATGATTTCTGTAAAATAAGCCAATGCATATAAAGAAATTCTTTATAATTTGTGGCATGAGCATCACTGAACCCCATTTCACAAGGAAACCGAGATTTTTTGCAAAGCTGACTTCACAGCAGTACATATTGATATACGTCTGAGATACGATGTTTAATCTCAAAACATCAGCTCTGCCTTCTTTTAAGTGTGCATCAGAGAAGTATGTAACTATGAAAAATTATATAGAGATTTTAACAAGAATATAAAACTTTGCAAAATGGCTAAGACTATGCTACCTTTCAAAATATAGAAGTTTAATAAGCCGGCATCAGAATTCTTTCTTGAGCTGGTGATTTCCAAATAACTACTCCATGGGATGCAGCAAAGTTCAAACAGGCTACATTTCAACTCTTACTTCTCCCAGAGTAATTTCAGTTGTTATTAATTTTCAACTTACGTGTGATTTTACTTCAGTGTCATATATAAGACTTTCCCAAAGGCCATGGAATTCAGCTGCAAAATCAATATATTATATACCTGTTAAGGATAAATTAATCTGGGAACTTGAAATCTACTATTGCAGCACAAAGCAGTTTTCAAATTATTCTCAACTAAAATTAAGAATTAAGAACAAATTTACGAGAGCAGTTAAAATACATGAAAAAAACATATGAGTTATTTTTCTCAAAATGCAATCACTACTTTCTAACAGACAAATTCAGCAGCTTCACAACTTCTGTTTCCTCAAATACTTGTGGCAAGAAATTAATCTTCTTAATTTCTTAACATGAAAGGAAAAATACAATTCTTTTCCATTTCTGTAGGGGATGGACCTACATTTCCCCAAGATAAAAAAACTATGAAAAGTCGGTGTGGGAGGAGGGTTCTAAGCCCAATTTTATGTTTCAGTGTTTTGTGGTGGGGTTTTTTTTTGGGTTTTTTTGTTTATTTTTTTTTTTTTAACATCAGCATGTAGAGGATTAAAAAAAGCTGAATAATGCATAAAAAATTCAAGCTGTGATTTGGGTATCAAACATTTCTAGCAGTTAGTTTCCAGCTTTCAGCAAAGAAAACCAAAAAACACTGAACAATTATAAACCAAAATAATATGGGAATAATGTCAAAGTATCAGATTGAATTATTCCTGAAGAGAAATGCAATGGATAGTCAGGCTTTTCACAACATGGAAAGAGGGAGAAACATCTCAGAATCACTGTCTCTTTGAGCTTAAGCTCACACCTGTACTTCTCCTTCCAGGTGCAGAATCCAACTTCCCCAAGCACAACACAGTAACAGGCAGGCCACACTCTGTTGCAGAGCAAAGCCTTATTCTTCTCTGCAGAAGACGCTCTGAGGACTTTAAATCTCTTTAGTTTGTTCCAAATATAAAAGCAGCACTATCTTGGGCACTGGAAGCCAACAGTGGGCTCTGGAAAATGAATGTTTAAACTGACGAGTTTCTTGTGGGTCTCCAAATAAACACTTGGAATGCAGCTTGTAGGGTTAAAAATTTGCATGCTTCTCATTATGACTATACATTTTATTCCACAAGACCAGTTACTTCCACCCATCCACAAGTATCGCAGAAATAAATGACGTGTTGTGGAATCACCCATAGTGGTTCAGTCAAAACCATAAAGAAGAAAGTCGAAATATATTGGTTCCATCAGCAAAGGACAAAGTTAAACAACACATACAAATAATAGCTTTAACAGGTAACCCAATAAATGCTTTTAGCCTTTTCAAGGTTTTCTTTCATTTTAATTGCTCTAGATCTTCCAGAAATATCAAATGGGTACCTGCTGGTAGCACCCAGTGGTTAGCTGCAATGATATCCTCATTCTCTTCTTCCAGGTTTTCAGAGCTTGGTCCTTCTTCATTCAGATGAAAAATATGAAGAGAAAGACTGCTTTTGCTCAAGTCAATAGGCTAGAATGGTCATAAAAAGACTTTTAATACATCGTATGTCTCGTTCAAATCTAATTATAACATAAGAAAGTTACCGTTCTCAGCCGGCATTCAGCTTTGAAGCCTACTGCTTCCGTCTCAGACCTTACTAAGAGGTGTAGGCCCAAAAACTTATCAATGTTTTCCTGGTTATACCATTCAGCCTAATAAAAGAAGCTAAATCGTCTTAAAGATCTTGTCTTGCTTATGTCCTTAGGCTATTACTAGTCTACCTACAACTAGTTCATATGCATATGAACAGAGCTGTACATTCTTGACTGTAAATACCTGTCTGTCTTTCAGTTTCAGCTCCGTATCCACGATCGACACGGACTGCACATTGCTGTTCAGGAAACCATCATCAAACTCTGTCCACTTGTAATCACCAAACACGACGTTATGTCTGTTCAACAGCTTTAAGACACTCATCCTGATATCTTCTTTCTTGGCCGCACTAACAAGAAAGAAACAGCACTATTTATGGCTTTGGCATTTATAAGGAAGTATTAACTAATATCAGAGTGCTTTATTTCATACACTAAGCCTACATGGAAAACAGCTTCCATCTCACAAAAAGACCCAAAAAACAACAACAAAAAAACCCCAAGCCCCAAACCAAACCACACACTAAAACCCAAGCCATACAAAAAAAACTCGAAACCCACTTAACCCCCACTAACATTCTGCAGAAAAAAAAACATATCAAATTCAGTTTGTTTGCAAAAGCAACAAGTCTGATAATTGTTTTTAATTTGTGCCTTAAAAGACACAAGCCAAAGAATACTATTTGCTCTGTTTGCAGTCATAGCAAGAGACACGGAATGACACAGTTAGATTTCCAGAATGGAAATCAGTTATACAATCTGACTGTGTTTCACTAGGTAAAACAGAAAAGAAATCATAGCCAAGGTACCAGACTGAATTGGGTACACTTAACTTGGAAGCTCTACTATGCTTTCACGCTTGAGGACAGCCGATAGCTCAGGATGGGGACATGCTGTAAGAATTCCAGTAGGAGACAAAAACTACTACAGAAAAAGGAATACAATTTTAAGATTTCAGAAAGGCTTTAACTTAATTTTGCCATTTCAGTGATGCATTCCCAGTTCCTTATCTTTTACGTTGGACAAAAAGAGAGCAGTGGATATTTTACACCTTGACTTTAGCACCCTTGGACACACTCTGCCATAGTTTCTAGATAGCCAAACTGGTAGGATAAGGACTGGAGAAATGGACAACAAAGTGGCTGGGCTGTCCAGTTCAAAGGGTTATGATTACTAGTACAAAGACTAAGTAGAGCTGCCAGTAAGTCAGGTGGAGAAAGATAGGGTGGTGCTGTCAATATTGGGACTTTTTTTTTTTTTTTTTTTTAACATTCGTCTTCTGTTACATCTTCATTTACACCCTGGACAGCGGGATGGAAAGCAACTGCAGCAAGTTTATGGGTAACACTGAAGCAGGGAGAGCTGTCTGTATACTGGAGGGCAGGGCTGCCATTCAGAGGGACCTCTTGAAGTTCAACAAAAGTAAAAGTGAAATCCTGTTTCTCCATCTGTTGCCCAGACAACAGTACAGACCAGAGGCCAACTGGATGAAAAGCAGCTTTGCAGAAAAGGACCTGGGAGTACTGGTAGACAAGGCGGTAACAAGTCAGCAGTGTGCCCCTGCTACCAATAAGGCAAATCTTATTTTAGGCTGTGCTAGCAAGAGTGCAAATATTGGGGAAAGTGATTCTTTCCGTCTACTCACTGTTTGTGAGACTACAACTGGAGCACTGTGCGCAGTTTTGGGCTCTGCTGTACAGGAGACAACGATCTCCTGGAGCAAGTGCACAATACGGCCACCAACTTGATTATGAGGCTGTATCACATGACACACATGGAGAAGCTGAGAGAAACGGGTTTGTTAAACCTTAGGAAGAGGCACCGTGTGGAAACTCATGGGAGAGTACAGAGAAGGCAAAGCAGAGCGCTGCGCACCCTTGTAGGTGCACAGCACAAAGCCAAGAGGCAGCAGACGCAAGTCGCAGCAAGTAAAGTTCTGATCAGAGAGACCTGCTTGATTTCTGATGAACTTCCACGTGTATTTGAACGTTGTCACACACGTTTGGGAGCGCTTGCTTCAAATCCCCAGCAGCTTCGTCCATCCTTCTCGCTCCTGGAGGTGGGGGGGGGAAGTGACACCAAGGAGAAGTAAGCTTTCAGCGGCCGTTACACGGCAACGGCACAACCAGTCCTCTTTGCAGGGCAGACGCCGTGCACCATCCAAGGGCCCCCCCACCCATCGCGGGGACCGGCGCTTCCCTCCCTCCCTTCCTCGGGAGATGGCGACGGCAGCCAGGGGATACGTCGCGAGCGCGGTCGCGCGCCCAGGCGGCGGCCCGCTCCTCCCCCCCGCGGGGCCTCCACGGCGGGGACAGGAAATCACCTCACGCCAGACGCGGCCCCAAGACCGGCGCGCTGCGATCGGGGTACGCAGGTCCACCCGGGGAGCAGAAGGACCGGAGAACTCCTCTGCTTGCCACCCCCCCCCCCCTTTCCCCCCCCACCACTCTGCCTGCTGCGAGGGCGCGG